TGGCGAATGAGGAGTTTCATTCATTTCGGAGTCATGAAATGAATGAAACTCAGGCACTGCAGCGTGCTGTCGATTTTTGAAAAGCTTGATGGATTTTTAAGGCGACATTTTTCCATATGCAGATCAACATGTGAATTTAGAGGCTTTCGCATTTCAAAGCCCTTCAAAGCCCAAAGTCTTCAAGAAGTCTGTGTATTTGGGCTAAATAAAGTAGAAAACAGCGAAGCTGAATTTCCGAGGACTGGACGTCGAAAGTGTTTTTATGCTTTTTATGATCAATTTTGTATCGACTAAACCAGAAGTGATCGATACCCATGAAAGTTTTCAGTCTTCTCTGTGTAATTCTATTTGTCAGCTGTCTGCTCAGCAAGGCTGCGTGAGAAAATAAGCTCTTGTCAGGGTCCGTCAGGGACCTCAAACATGCGTAAGATGAACGCTATGACAGTTTTCTTTACCTGTCTGGTGCAATGAATAGCTGTCTCCCAGTACTCGGGACGCTCGTCATTGTTTTTGTTTGTCTTTTTTGTGTGCAAAGGTTCTGCAGTGTCATGGCTGCTTTCATGGACACCTTGGGTCCTTTGTCCTCCTATAATATAATCATGATCTTCACAGCTGTAATGATGATGGAGTTGAGGCTGCTGGGGTGCTTATACAGCTTCACTCCCACTGCCATCAATGTCAAGAGGCAGTACTATAAGTAATCTGCGTGGAATTGTGCCATGGACCCGTCCACATCGACAAGCGCCTCCACATTTCTGGGGATTTAGGCAAACCTTTTGGCTCTCCTCATCCTTCTCAGCATCATTTTGGTCACATTTCTGTGGTCTGCCAGTCACTTGTATTTCTCTAAAGACTGCACAGCCTTCTATTTTTTAAATGGAAGGGGTTTTCTCCTTAGAACAACCCCAAGAGTTTTAGTATTTTCTTAGTTTTGGTATTTGAATTTTGATAAAGTTGTGGGGAAAATATTTCAGGAAGATCTTCTGAATCTACAGAATCTTGAAACATGAATATGTTAATATGTTAATATTACACAGTCAATTCTATTCAAGCATATGTAGGAAACTAAATTGTTTTAGTGTCAAGTTTCAAATGCATCAATTTTCTAAATGTTAAAAATACAAACAAAGGCCACAGAATTTTAAGCATAGTTGACCAGAAAAGTTTGACCTTGAAAAAGAGGTCAGAAGTCCAAAGTAACGTAGTATTTAGAATACATCATTCTTTACATGTCTGTATGTTGTCAACACAAACAGTAATAAGCAGCATCACTTTCAATCCTATAAATAGCATTATTGTTACTTTGACCTTCAGATCAATCTATTGACCTTTAAGGAGAGGTCAGAGGTCAAATGTGGCATATTTTAAATCTGTATGTGGTCGCTCTAAGTTACAAGGCTCTTTATCAGTTCTTGACCATTAAAGCTTGATTTTGAAGACATTGGTGGATGTAAGCCAAACTTTAATGGACTGTTAACATTACCCCACTCCACAGCTCGACAAAAATATATCAAAATCCATTCAAAACATTTCGAACTATCGTTTTTTCTAGATGAAAACTGGCACTGTGTGTGCACGCCAGTGATACACGCAGTACGCCTGATGGGCTAATTAATTCCAGAAGATGGCAGCAATGTGAAAACAAGGATGTCAGCTACTGGAAAAACCTGAGCGAAGAAGAAGAACAAGGAAGACTGCTCCAATCCTGCAGTAGGTCTGAGGCGCGTTGCTGCTGAGTGGCTACGTGCTGTTAAAGGGACGTAACAATGGAGTCTGCTTTCCACACTGATATGAAGGAGCTTTTCTGTGCTCTGTGCACCGCTCTGCTCCTCCTCGCCACGGTCACGTCTGCAGAGGAAAGCGCTCAGGTGAAAAACCCCCAGTGTCAAAGTTACGCGGGAGGACACGTCTATCCCGGAGAGGCTTTCCGTGTGCCCGTGTCCGACCATTCCCTCCACCTCAGCAAAGCCAAGAGTGAGTTTCTCTCATGCTTTCATCCAGAGAGTGCTGCTAGGTTAGCATTTGCATATTTAAAGTGTGCACTGATTTATTTATTTATTTATTTTTGCTGCTTTCTCCTTCCTGTCAAACTACGACTAGCAGCTTGTGCATGTTGATGCAGCAGGCTGGTGCTGCACAGAGCACCCATGTTATGGTTTAATTTTGCAGTTATTGTTAAAATCCCCAGGTGATATCTTTATTTAAAGTTTAAGCCTAACCTGAACTCTCATGGTTTTGTAGGACACGTCATACTCTGAAAATCTTGGCATGAGCACCTCTCCCCGCCCCTCTGACACATGACTGTGTGTGGCGCAGTACCTACGCTTTTTAATACAGACCTGATAACATAAATAACACTACTTTCAAAATAATAAAAGGGGACCACTAAACTCATGTGATTATGTATGGGAGATTTACTGTGAAGATGTCCGAGTCATTGTCATTACTGCAGGTTTTTCCTCTTCCATATGGAAACATGAGTTTGTAGACTTTACCGGGCAAAGTGCGTAATTTTGCGCCTATTCCACAATTTGCATATTTATGACATGACGCAAATGTACTTTTTAAAAGGTTGGGAAAACCGTTTATCGGCTGAGACTAAAGAAGTCACTTGGATAAGTGACTAAACGTTTCTCCCACTGAAAACACTAAAAACGTCCAGATTAACAGAATCAACCTTTTGGGGCTTATTCCACTGGTTAAATACAGTGCACTGCTAGTTGTAGTACGAAATACGTTATATTATGTCCAAACGTTTAACTTGGTTTTTCATCCTGGTTTAGTTTCAAAGCCTGCACCCCACTGGGAAGGAACAGCTGTCATCAACGGTGAATTCAAGGAGCTGAAGCTGTCGGACTACAAAGGCAAATACCTCGTTTTTTTCTTCTATCCCCTGGACTTGTAAGTACCATCGAATGCACGTTACATTATCACTTTGCACATTCTGCTGGGATTGCTGCACAGCGTTGTTCTCAAGTGAAAGCATTTGTTTTGTTTTTTCTGCAGCACATTTGTCTGTCCGACTGAGATCATTGCATTCAGTGATCGTCTGCACGAGTTTCAAGCCATCAACACGGAGGTGGTCGCTTGCTCAGTAGATTCCCAGTTCACACACTTGGCCTGGTGAGATTGCTGTTTCCATCACAATTTAATGGCTGAAGATCAACTCTAATAAAAACAGATGATGTTGTATTATTTTGCTCTACTACTTTAACCTTTTGTATGTACTTTTGATAGACTTTTATTCATTTTATGATAATGAAGACTGATGTTTTTTGCTTTCTGTTTTTTACAGGATCAATACTCCCAGGAAGCAGGGTGGACTTGGACAAATGAAAATCCCTCTGCTGTCTGACCTCACTCACCAGATTTCAAAAGACTATGGTGTCTACCTGGAGGACCAAGGACACACACTGAGGTGAAGTTATAGCCATCATCAAAGTTTTATAGCTTAAGCAGCTTAAAGAAATTATACTTATTATGTAGCATTGTTATGGCTCCTTGCTGTAAGTTAAAGGTTTTATTTGCAGTTGTAAAACTAATGGTTGCGATCAGTGTGTAAATGATAGATGGACTGGGTCTTATATAGTGCTTTTCAACCTTACCTGAGCACTCAAAGTTCGTTATACAACGTGCCTTATTCACCTTATGCAGGAAGGCTTAAATAGTTCTAGAACCACAAATGGCATATATGAGGCAGAGTCCTGCTGCTGACATTTAGATAATTTACCCCCATGGAAACATTAACAGGAAGCATTGAGCAGCCACTCATGCTCTATTCTAACTCATCCATGTCTTCCTCAGGGGTCTATTCATCATCGATGGCAAAGGTATCCTGAGGCAGATCACTATGAACGATCTTCCAGTGGGAAGATCTGTGGATGAAACTTTGCGGTTGGTCCAGGCCTTCCAGTACACAGACAAACATGGAGAAGGTAAAACGATGGATTTTATTATTAGCAGCTGAAATGTCTGACTGTCTTTCGTTTATGCAGAATACCTAGAAACAAACAGCTGGCTGTCAGCTGAGTCTTTGAGCTGTTTCTTCTTTACATTCTGACTAGTTCTGTGTTATTGTTTTCACAGTGTGTCCAGCAGGATGGAAACCAGGCAGTGACACAGTAAGTATCACTGGGCCAGTGACTAATATGGATCCTTAGGCACTAACTGCTATTGTCTTCCAGCATATTAAAAAAAAAAAATCAGACTGGCAGCCATGTATTTGTAAAAACTGATGAGCTGTCTCAGGCTGATTGCCATAAAGAAGACTGTATACAAAGATGGATGTCGTTTCTGAGTCTGAAAAGTGAAAGCATGATGGAAGTGCTTTAAAATTGCATTGTTTCTGTTTAGCGGCCAGCAGGGGGCAGCACTAGTTGCAAAAAAGCATCTGACTGTGTAACAGGATTAGAAAATGATCCTGCTGCTCACGTGAACAATGATCTCGGTCTATAGTTTCAAGTCTTCTTAATGCATCATGATTTGATTTAGTAAATTATGGTCCCATTTAGAGTAACATAGACCTTATTATTGACAATTAGGTATACTATGAGATACATTGTCATTGTTTTTGCAAATCAGACCCACCACTTTTTTTGTTGTTGTTGTTATTCCTTCAAAAGAGGTTTTATTATTTATTTATTTAGTTAAAACAGTTCAGTTTGGCCTCGATGGTTGACCTTAAATTATTACCCAGCAATTACACTGCAAAGATAAGAATTCACCTTTCGCTAATTTCTTCCATTGTTAAGTGGGAATTGCACTATGACTAGTTTATTATCAGAAATCTACATTATGTGTCATATAGGTCTTCTTACATGAAATGTGCTGCACACTAATTTAATGATTTCTTTTCCACAGATCATTCCTGATCCTTCAGGCAAGCTGAAGTATTTCGATAAACTGAATTGATGTATTTGTTTTCCCAGTCTCTGAAATCCAACACTTACACTTTAAAATTTCCAATAAAATGTGTTTTCCTAAACTGCTGTGTGTCTGGTCTCTTAAACCATGACGATGTTGAAAGTGATGTTGAAAAACTAGTTCATGCATTTATTACTTCTAGGCTGCACTATTGTAATTCGTTACTATCAGGATGTCCTTAAAAACTCCCTGAAAAGCCTTCAGCTGATCCAAAATGTTCTGCAGTGACTATATATCCAGTGACTCCCAGATTCTGGAGATACAGAAATGAAACTACTCGTTTCCTCTCTGCTGTCTGTGCTTTGAATTTGATACAATTTAAATATGTGATGAACAAACATTTTGCTGTAAAAAAACAGCCCCGAGCTGTCCAGCATGTGCAGTGAATAATGCAGGTGATGCCTTCAGCAGTTACTTAGCACGCTGAAAACGCATTTAATCATTCTAGTTTATAGCTGCAATATGCAAACTTCACTGTGACCTTTGGGCAGCATGATGACCTGTTGGCTACACTGTTGCCTCAAAGCAAGAAAGTCCTGAGTTCAAATTCAGTCTTTTTGTAGATGCACTTGTTTTTAAAATGCTTTTAAGGACTATTGCAGCAGGGCTGTGCTTGCTTGTGCTTTGCAAGAGAAACAAATGCATGCAAAAGTATCAGTGCCACTGTGATTTCAAGGGTCAAATTTGCTCTCGAATGAGTAAAACAAACTCAAATGTTTCATAAAATAAGTTAACTGAAGTTTGTTTATCAGCTGCTGGTTACTAACTTGATCACCTATAGATAATGTTCATCCTCAACCACACCCCTCTTTTTTTAAGCTGTTAAAAGCAGGTTATATAACCTGTTATATAAACTGTTTTTCTTTTCCCACAATGCAAATAACAGCATCTGAATGCAAAGAAGCAGTAAGTTTTAGCAAGGGAAGAACAACCGGCTCAATGTTATGGGTTGATTTTGTATGTAAAATATTTTACACTCATTTTCAAAAGTGGGTTATTCTTTACTCAGCATAACAGATGTGCTTGGCTTTTTTTTTTTCTTAGGTCTGGTTAATATTAACCTTTTAAACAACATTCAAATGTCGTCCAGTCAACACAAAGATAAGGGACGAGCAGAAAAGGAAAAGAAACAGGATGTAATGAGCTGTTTGCCCATATATGGGTCACCTTTCTTTCTGGGATGTTTAAAAGAGAAGCGTCTGAAGCTGCTCTGCCACTCTGCAACACAGCTAATGCAGTTCTGTGTATGTTGGTTTCCCCATTTCATTGTCGGGGGGTAGACTCCTGAGGAGCGGATGAAGAAACAAATTTTGCTTTTGTTTACATTCAGAGGATTAGTGAGCAAAGGGAAAAGGGGTAAAAAGAGAAAATGGCCAGTTTTATATTACGGACAGCTGAACCAAAGGATGTCTCAGATATCCTGCGACTCATAAAGGTAAACCATATGTGAACTGATAATACTTCAAGCCTTTAACTGGGAGTATGCTTAACTAACAGAAATATGACTAAATGACCTTGCCTTTTAGGAGCTTGCTAAATTTGAAGAGATGGAGGAGAAGGTGATGCTGACAGAAAAAGGTGCTGTGATTTAGCTTCACGATGAAGTTTGCATTGATCTGGAGTTTGAGAAAGCTTAAAGATTTAATAATGTTATGGGTTTTTTTTTGTTTTTTTCAGATCTGCTTGAAGATGGCTTTGGGGATCATCCATTCTACCACTGTTTGGTTGCTGAAGTCCCAAACGAGAAGAGCTCAGTAGGTAAAAATGCGCCTCTTAAAAATATTCTCATATTTCTCAGGAACTATTAATGTTGTTCACGGGTCTGATCCACTATTTAATCCCCTGCTCTGTGTTTTCTTCAAGGGTACACTGTGGTTGGGTTTGCTATGTACTACTTTACATATGACCCATGGATTGGAAAGCTTCTGTACCTGGAAGATTTCTTCATCATGCAGGAGTTTCGTGGTATGTTTGATGAAAAGTTTTATTGCAGTGCTAAAGGTTAATGACTAACAGAGGAGAGACTTCTTTCCTACTTTGCGGGACAATTTGTACTCATTGCCAAAGAACTTTCTTAATTGCTCCATGAACACGTAATCTTTCACCAGGTCTTGGCATCGGTTCAAAAGTCCTGAAGGTGCTGAGCGAGGTACTTTTAACATTGCACACTTCAACATTTTTCTGGTGACAGAGTCACCTTTATTTCAGCTGCATTCACGCGTGCACTTTTCTTTTCTCCTTTTTCCTAGACGGCAGTGAAGACCCGCTGTAGCGCCATGCATTTTATAGTAGCAGAAAACAACACCAAGTCTATTGAGTTCTACAAGAGAAGAGGTGCAGCGGATCTGTCCTCTGAGGAGGGGTGGCGTCTTTTTGCCATTGAAAAGAAAAATCTGCTGAAAATGTCTGCCAAATAGAGTTTGCCACTCTTAAACTTGTATTGATGTCTGGTGATAGCAGTGAACTTTGCTCTATGTGATCAGTGACTTGGAGCAGCCTCAATAAATGCATTTATCAATCAGCTGTTCCCTTCTGATCACAAACCATGTCTGGGACTTTTGAGGTCATTGCTAAATTTACACTGATCTCAGAAGTTTGATGAATGAACACTGAAACGTGATAATTACATGGTAATAATCTACCACAGCTGGAAAGTTTGTGAGACTTGAACAAGCATGCTAATAAATACATTAATAAATATAGATTTTGTGTGTTTGGGATTTTCCATCACAACCTACATATCATCCTGTGCCTCTTTGCTATGTTGCCTTTCCCAAGCTGACTAATATTATAGTGCTTTTTTTAAATCATATGCACATTGTAATTCAATCAGACCTTAGAATTATAATACGGCATTAAGAGTTTCTGGGATCATTTTACTCATTAAATGCTGAAATGTCACAATATAAGAGAAAACAAAAGGCCCTCTTACATACTGAGTAATTTTAACAAAAGTGAAAGTGTAGAAGTGTGTATGCATAAAGATAAGTATGGAGAAGCTGTTACTATTACTGATTAACTGCAATAAAAACCCTATCAGAAGATAAACGGCTACATATTTAAAACTGATGGATGCATTACAGATATTTTCTGTCTAATTTCTGGAAATTTTTAACTGCACTTTAGTTTTATTTTCTTTTTAGATCACTTTTAATGGAGTTCAAAAGAAGCGCAGTTAACACACTATTTGGGAGAACATAAACAACCCAGGTACAGTTGTGCTGCAGATGTGGGGAAAAACAACTATACTTGTAGGCTTAACAAAACTGCAGAAGTGATAGGTTCATTCATAAAATAGGGCAGTCGTCGGTTTGTTTAAATGTTGAAGCAATGCTCTCTATCTTGAGGTCATAGTTTAATTGTCCTTTTATTGTGATGCACTCTGTTGTTTGGCGCGAACTGACGTAGTCCTCAGTCAAATTATTTGCTGATACACCGAGCCATGGAGCATAAACTAATTAGAGTTACCGCTGCAGCGCACGCTTTCACACGACCCGCGTTGTTCTTTAGATTATGGCCTGTTTGGTGCCTGTCGGGCTGATTTCCACCACAACCCTTCCGCATTTTCCTGCTGCTCTCGGGCTGTGACGTGTCGTGCTGACGGCGGCCTCGGAGCTGGAGGAGCGGGGGGCTGTAGCATGACAAGATCTGGCTCGAGACGTCCTGCTTTGCTTTCAGCGGTGCTCCTGAATCAACCCCTAACCCCTCCTTCTCTTCTCCTCTCCGGCCCGCCCAAATAACACAAAATTCCCGACTGAATCCTGCCCGAGTCTGGGGGAACCAGGCGGCCTGGGAAGCCGAGGAGCGGACAGAGGCATCCCTGCAGCACGAATCTGGTACGCGGCTCGTTTTTGTGCCAAAGGCGTCCGATTTCAGAGCTGTGTTTGCATTTGTACGTGCCCGTGGCCTTTTGTTTTTTACATGCATGTTGTATTTTAATTTATTTCTTTATTTTTTCTGAGAGGCCGCAAAGGGTTGGGCCTTTTCTTTTCTGGGCCGGGGCCTCAATAGAGGCCGTAATTGGCAAATCAGGCCTATCCCGTTAGCTAGCGAGCCACCCGGAAAAAAGGGATTGTATATTCGTCTGTCGTAGTTGACCATCGGCATTTGTTATCGATAGCTGACGGCTGATATGCAACGCACCATTCAGCCTCAGTTTCGTCTGACACCTTGTCGTCGCCGAGGAGTAGTTTAATAAACGTTAAAATTAGCATTCGTCCAGCAGTTAAGCTAACAAAATGGCGGACGCTTGTGTGATGGAAATTGGTTGTAGAAAAGGTATGTGTGTGTGTGGGTTCAGCCCTCCTCTCGCTAGCTGGCCGGTACAGAGCGACATAAGTGTGCACTTAACGAAAGCCTCGTTTCTTTGCATCTTTATCTTTTCGCATCTGTATGTGTGCGTGCAATCAGCCTTTTCTAAACGTCTGTTTGCACCGTGACAGTCGGGCTTTGCATGTGTAATCAGTGCTAATCTTCCTCCAGTGGTCAATTGAAGACATTGCCGTGAATCACCTCATCGGGATTTGTGTTGTGCTATAGATTTCTCGTAGTGTGTCCGATCGCCCGAGTTTTTAAAATTAATTCTTTTTTTATGTGATGTCGGTGTCTTTTGAGCACAAGTGATGCGGGGTTGTGCCGCACATCTTCCTCACACCGTTGTCATATTTTTCCACCTGGAGGTGGGGGGATGGTACATTCAGTGGAAATTAAATGGCAACCCGGTTGCATCGTTTTCTGTTTACACCTCAGTGTTCCCTTGTGTTAGTTTCAGAGAGATATCTGTGTTGTTTTTCTTGTCCTACATTAGCTCAACTTTACCTCCATTTTTTGGGTGGGGAGGCGAAACGTGTCTTTGATTCTGTTAACTGTAGTGATGCGGGCATGACAATAATGGCACTGGTCATTTTAGTTTCTGTCCGTTATCGCATACACGAGCTAACAGTGTAAAGCACATTTTATTTATTATTATTTTTTAATTTTGTGGTGTCCCTTTTAAAAATAGGTTAAAACCACAAAGCTGAAGTCGTGTGTGTGTGTGTGTGTGTGTGTGTGTGTGTGTGTGAATTAAAGGTCAAATAATTTGGATCTTCACAAAGAAACACTGCGTGAGCCAAGGCAAGGCTACAGCGCGATTTTAACCAGGGTTGTTCTTGATAAAGTTCGATTCAAAAGTTGGTTTATAGAGTACTGTGAGGTAACAATCAAGTCTCTGAAGCCTGATTTGGATGCTTGACGGCTTTTAATGCTCCAGGCAGAGAAGAGCACACTTTCTATGGGACAAAACGAGAACTGAGGTTAGTGAGTGTACACCATGTTTACAGTATCAAGCCCACAGATGTCCATACATGCCCGTTTGCTGTAAAGTGAATCTTGAAAGGATAGGCATTAACTGTTATGGTGGTAGCAGGGAATTGTGCAGCAAAGGCCAGTGATGGAGGAGTGTGGGTGACTGTAGAAAAGCATGGACTCAACCAAAGTGGGGGGGAAAAAGATGACTTTCAAAAGTTGATTTAATATACTTTATGCTTCTCTGTTGAGGGCTTCTGAAGTGGAGCATATCATAAAAAGTTTGAGAACCACTTTGTTAAGGAACTGCTCAAGCTACAGTACTTGTACAATGCCAGGCCACTGGTCTGTATCATGGGATTCACGTTACAGTGATTCAACAAGTTATACTAAGTCTTTTTTTGAAAACACACTGGATGCCAGGCACATTAGGGACTTCATGGGGTAGTGTGGAAAAGAAATGACACCAGCATTGTTGGGCTAACATTTGGCGATGTTGGCCACGTTTGCATTAGCAGCTCGTGTGGTAACTCTGACAAATTGAAATGGATTTAAAGCAGATTTGGGACATAAACATATGATTTTTTTATTTTATTTTAAATAAATCTTTGTTTTTTTTAGTTCCAGTGGCTTGAGGCTGTCAAAGCAGCAGTGTTTTCATCACATATCATGGTGTGTGTGTGTGTGTGTGTCCTGAGTAACCTGGAGTGGCTGCTCTGAGTGTCATACAGAAAAGCATAACCGTACACCTGTAAAATATTGTATAAGAAGGGCAATGGTGTGTAACAGCATTACAATATATAAGTAACCTATTATCTGCATAATTTTCTGCCTGTGCTTACTTGATACTAAGCTGTCTATCATTTGGTTTCAGCTGTCCAGTAACAAATGCAGTGCGAGGACAATGGATGAGGATGTCACCAGGCTTGCAATACATTCTGAAGAGCCTAAAATAATATTGCACGGATCGGGTAATTAGCAATGCTTATACTTACAGAGTACGTCTTGCTGGTATGAGAAGTACAATAGTACTAGCAGGATTTCTTTCTCTTTTGTGGATAGCCAGATAACTTTAAATATTTGAGTGAAAGTGTTGTTTGGAAGGAGATGACATGACCATCCAGAGCAAAGTCATATTATGACTGTATGACCATTTAAATCATTATCACACAATAGACCCTTGCTCTTCACTGTTATCTGGTTAACCATGCAATCCTGCTTCTTCTAGATGAAGGTGGTGCCGGCGGGCAGGAGTTTGTTGTGGAGCTTCAAGAGACTGTGTTGGTGTCAGAAGGCGAAGGGGAAGGCATGGCAGTTCACAGGTTCGCCCCAGACGAGCTTGTGATCCAGGATGCTGTTGAGGATGTGGTTTCTGAGTACGTGCACTGCGATGAAGATGAAGATGTTGCTGTAGAAACCTGTGTGATGGCTCTGGACGGTGAGGAGGAAGGTGTTGCCATGGGAGACATCCCTGAAGATGGGCTGGACCCAGAGCAGCAGGAGGACGATGACCAAGATGGCTGTGGAGATTATCTAATGATATCCTGTAAGTTTACTAGACTGTGCTGCATTTACACTTAGCATACATGTCTTTGGTTTGTTGTATTATTATTATTATTATTATTATTATTATTATTATTATCTGTATAATATCTGTCGCTTGGAAGATGGAAAATTTATATGCATTTGCGGTGTATTTAAAAGGAAACATCCATGTAAATGACAGGACGAAAGGTTTAAATCTACAGTGTAGGCTAACATGCACCTTCCCACCTGCAGAAACGTAGACCTCAACAACTAATGTAAACACAGTTTATAGATTAGCACAGTGATAGTACCCCTGTGAAATTAAATCAATGGTTTTAACCATATGTAGCTTGCTCATTGTGCTGTGGCAGCCCAACTGCCATGGTGGTGGCAGATGGCTGCCCCTCCCTCAGCCTGGTTCTGTTAAAGGTTTCTACCTGTTGAAAGGGAGTTTTTTCCCTCCCACTGTCACTCAGTGGTTGCTCATAGGGGATCGTATGATTGTTCAGCTTTTCTTATAAATAAAACTGAATTGAATGTAAATAAGCAAATCTTTCTCATTTTCAATGTGTTTTTCAATGTGTCAAGTTTTCCTTGTTATTATATATTGTACAAGTTGAAGCACTTATGTGTTTGGCTTAGTTTGCCTTAGTTACTTTGCACATCCAGCTACATAACTACTGCACGTGTACATCCCTGCTGGGGAAAAAATATCACACTTATAGCCACATAATGAGCTGAGGTGGTCAGTTTTTGTTTTGTTTTTCCCAGGCTTATTTAAAATTACAAAATTGTGGACAGACACACTGTACAACTTATTTCTCTTGCATAGTAGTAGTTTGCATTGAAACAAAACAAAAGATAAATTTTTTGTTTTGTTTTCTTTTGGGGGGGGGGGAGAGACTCATTTACTCTAATTTCCCTGAGTACCCGGAGATTTGCTTCATAAATGCTATGAAGATGTCAGTTTTGAAAAGGTGGAATTGAAGGGTTTTTTGTTGCTGTTTTTTTAATTTTTTTTTTATTTATAAGCGATCATACTAAATCATAATAAGTTTTGATCTTTAGATTTAATATTTAGATAAGCTTCTTAAACGATTGAGTACCTTATTTGCACTCATTTCATGTAAATATTTCCAGTATGCCATAATTAAACTGCTACAAAGTCTCTGCTGGTGACTCTGTTTAATCAAGTCTGATGTATGTCCCTTTGCTAGTGGATGAAGCTGGTAAAATGGTGTCTGAGGATGGAACAGAGGTGACAGTGGAAGGAGCTGTGGAGGACCAGGAAGTGGAGAAAGATGAGGATGGACAAGAGGTGATAAAGGTCTACATCTTCAAGGCTGATTCTGGGGAAGATGACATGGGTGAGTGGCAGTTAGCTTTCTGTTAATAAAAGAATCATGATAATAAATAATACTGGCTGAATCCTGCAGAAAGCCTTTCTATTTGGGTCTATTTTTCAGAAAGTAGAGAACTGAACTTAAGTTTCATTGTGCAGGAGAATCTGTTGACATCAGTGACGGGGACACAGAGAACGTTGCGTTAACAGAGTCTTCGGGCCATACGCTCAGAGAGAAGATGGTTTACATGTCTGTCGGGGATTCTCATCACAATCAAGGAAACCACGGTGAGTCATCTGGATGCAAGGAGCGGGGACAGCTGTCATGAAACTGAACGTCACCAGTTTTTTGGTTTTGTACCTGTTGGGCTCATCTACAGGTGGGTCCAAGGTGACTGATGAGGTTTATATGGAGGTGGTGGTAGGAGGCGAAGAGCCAGTAACTCACGACCGCTCGTATGACAGCGTGTCTCTAAGCAAGGACTTCATGCCTGTGGCCTGGGCAGCTGCTTATGGTCAGCACCCTTGTCTATTAAATTGCTTTTAAAAACCACACTGGAAGCCTATGCATCAACCACGTCTCTTGGTGTCCTGGTTAAGCTTTACACGCACCGGTTTTGTTTGTTTATATGCCAAAGACGTGCCGTTTTTCTCACAGGTGCAGAAGATAGCGAGAGTTGTGAGAACCGGAACGGTGCAGCCAGCGCGCTGCTGCATATCGACGAATCGGACGGGGTGGACGAAATCAACAGACAGCGCAACAAGACCAAGAGGCGGTCAGAGCCTCGACAAGTCCAGACAGGTGAGAACGGCACAAATCAGACACAGACTTCTCAGGCTTGTTTGGATAAAAATGAGGATTTGTCTAGTCTTTTTAGGACTGAATAGCAGAAGAGATGATGAAAGCAGCGGCTCTATCAGTAACAATTAATTTTGAGATATATTATAATAGTGAGGTTTTTTTTTTTACACCAGTGCCCTTTTTTCTTTTTTTTCTTTTTTTTTTCTTAAGTAAATTAAGAGTGTGGTATAACTAAGCGTAGTTGTCATTTTCACATTGTTGGCTGTGCATATTTCTACAGTTTGTACAGCACCATCCAAACCAGTTCAGTGTGTTAGAACAGCGGTCCCCAACCCCCGGGCCTTGGACCGGTAACGGTCCGTGAGTCGTTTGGTACTGGGCCGCGAGAGTTGAGGCTCAGGTGTGAAATGTATGGTTTTCAGGGTTTTTATCGGTTTTCAGCGTCATTTTGTTATCGTTTACTCGGTTTTTCTGGGTCTTTTCACGTGTGTTATGAATAAATCTTCTTTTTTTCGGTACTGGTACTAGTTTTATTTTGTTGTATTTATCCGCGACACCTTAAAGGCCGGTCCGTGAAAATATTGTCGGGCATAAACCGGTCCGTGGCGCAAAAAAGGTTGGGGACCACTGTGTCAGAAGCAATAACTTCTTCTGATCTTGTTTAATAGTTGTTGACAAGCAGCTTCATTGTGCATTACCGCCCACTCCTGGCAGTTGTAACACATTACATCCTAAAAGGCAATTATGAGAAAAACTGAGAAAATATGCAATTTGTATAAAAAAATAACTGCATTATTTATTTATTCTAAAATCATACCTGTTTGTATTTGGCATTAGCACTCAATATAATACATAGTATGATTTTTATTTTTTATAGTGGTTAGCACAGTTTAAAAGGGCTCATTGTTTATGACTTTCCTGCTAGCGGAAGTTAACTAGTTTATCCGGTTTATTGTACCGATGGGCTGTTTTGATGACACTTCTTTATTTAAATACGATTGTCTCTGAGCAGTAAAAGCTGGTTGACATTGAATTCAGATTTTATTTGTACACTAAGCTTGATTAAAAGCACACAATTACTGTGTGCTGCTGCACAGTACATGTTCTACTTTTGTTGCTTTAATTTTCAGTTCAGTTCATATTCAATATTGTACAGCGAAACATTTAATTTAGATATATAATTTCACCAGTATTGAAATACTGAAGATAAACACTGTTCTTCAAAAAAAACAAAAAACAAGCTTCTGTTTATGAAGGAAATGACCAGCAATGTGGTCATTTCCTTCTCCCTTTTATTTATTTATTTTTTCTCAAATAGAATTTAAATTTTTTCTCTTTCTCTCCAGCCATTATCATCGGTCCATATGGTCAGCCCCTCACCGTTTACCCCTGCATGCTCTGTGGTAAGAAGTTCAAATCACGAGGCTTCTTGAAACGCCACACCAAGAACCACCACCAGGATGTTTTGACCAGGAAAAAGTACCAATGCACAGACTGTGATTTTACCACCAACAAGAAAGCCAGCCTCCACAATCACATGGAGGTGCATGCTCTGAGCAGCAAGGCCCCTTTCGAGTGTGAAATGTGTGGCAAGGAGTTCCACCAGCAGGCGGCACTATTTTCTCACAGACTGCAGCACCACCACCGGGAGCCCAAGAGCCAGCCACCTCCACCTCCCACCAAGATGCATAAATGCAAGTTTTGTGACTATGAAACTGCCGAGCAAGGGCTGCTCAATCGACACTTATTGGCAGTTCACAGCAAAAGCTTCCCCCACATCTGTGTGGAATGTGGCAAAGGCTTTCGACATCCTTCGGAGTTGAAGAAACACATGCGCACTCACACCGGCGAGAAGCCTTACTCCTGCCTGTACTGCGACTATAAGTCAGCCGATTCCTCTAATCTCAAAACGCACATCAAGACTAAGCATAGCAAAGAGATGCCATACAAATGTGAGCGCTGTTTCCAGACGTTTGCAGAGGAGGAGGAGTTAATGCAGCATGGATTAACGCACGAGGAGAATAAGACCCACCATTGTGCCCACTGTGATCACAAAAGTTCCAACTCCAGTGACCTGAAGCGTCACATCATATCTGTTCATACCAAGGACTATCCCCACAAATGCGCCGTTTGTGGGAAAGGCTTCCACCGGCCGTCTGAACTGAAGAAGCACTCGGTATCCCACCGTACTAAGAAAGTCCATCAGTGCCGGCACTGCAACTTTAAAATCGCAGACCCCTTTGTTCTCAGTCGCCACATCTTGTCAGTCCACACAAAGGAGCAACAGGCCTCACCTGAAAAGAGTGAGACAAAGAGGACAGAAACGCACACTCCTGCTGTGACGCCGAAAAAGTCCGGGCCCAGCGGGTCAAGCAGCTCTGGTCCGCCGGCAAGAGTTAGCGCGGCCAGCTTAGCCAGCAGCGTGACTGTAGTTATTGGCAAAGGACAAAAAGAAAGGCGGATTTACCAGTGCCAGTACTGCGACTACAGCACCGGTGACGCGTCGGGTTTCAAGCGTCACGTGATTTCCATTCACACAAAGGACTACCCGCACCGCTGCGAGATCTGTTCGAAGGGCTTCCGACGACCCTCGGAGAAGAACCAGCATATCATGCGTCACCACAAAGACGTGGTGCAGGCAGAGTGACTCTGACCGAGCCAAATACTGTGCCACAGCAAAGAACAATGTTGAAGCATCCGTCAGACCCCGACCACCGCGCCCTCGGCACGTCGCCATTCACATTGAAGTAGTGCGGAGTGTGTGTGCTGCACTCGGTCCATTCTGTTGTTTTGCTCTTTTTAAATCCTCGGCCTACTGTTTGTTCAGATATGTATACACGTGTAGATAACATTAATGCTCTGTCAGAGTTAGCAAACCAAGCCCCTCTGTAGACTCGCACTTTTAACTGCATGTCCCTTGGTGGTGACAGTGTGCATGGCAGATTGTGCAGATGTCTCTTTGTAGATACACTTTTTTTTTTTTTTAACTTTTGCAAATAGCAATCAGTTCTCAATCAGAATGGTCCTAATTATTTGTCTTAAAAACAAATGTGTAATTTTAAAAATGTTTGCATAATTTTCTTAAAATGTATTTAACAGCAGTTTGGATTAACAACCTGTTTCCAGTAGCACTTGGTAAAAGCGCGCGTGTGCGTGCGTGTGTGTGTGTGTGTGTGTGTGCGCGTGCGAGTGGGAGAGAGAGAGAGAAAGAAACAGAGGGAGCTTGAGGGACAAAAAAAGCAGCGCAGCCGTTGTGCTTCCTTTGCTCTGACCCGACCACTTTGTAACATAATGCTTCCTGGTGCGTTGACTAAACTCACAAATACAGGCAGAGGGGGAGTCACTCTAAGCTTCGTCGGCAGGGGGTTTATGCTCATTGATTTGCTACAAAAACACAGTGAGAAACTGGATGCATCATGTTGGTGAATAAGGTTTCACACGTGCACACAAATCCGAACGCTGTCACTTGCCCTCAATGCTTGGTTATCAAATGTCCAATATTTCTGTTACAAGTCCAAAAGCGTACTGTACGTTGTTCAGAACAAGTGCCCAAAGCTGTAGAGATGACACCCTCACTAACAGTATTTTTTTTTTTTTAAATTATTGTTAACGCATTAATGCTTTCTCAGAAGTGAAATCCTTTTAATTTGACATGACTTCTTCTTTTCTTTTCTTTTCTTTTTTTTTTTTTTTTAATATGTGAAGAGAGGAAAATGTTTCCTCCTCAATTTCTTTTGAAAACTGATGAACTGTTCATAAAAAAAAAATTTTTTTGTAACGATTGACATATCTTTTAAATCACTGAAAAAGGGTAATCTGCAAGTATCAGTATGCTACCAATGTTAGACTGGGTTATAAAAAATATGCCAGATCAGTGTCCTAATATAAGTGTCTGGTCTAAATGAGAGTTGAATAGTATATCTGGTGCTGCTGTTATAAAACTAAGGACTGAACTCTTTGATTTCTCCTACACAGATGTACTTTTGCCTGTAGAAAGGGAAACATGTATATCTTTTTAGATGCAACTTCAGAAGACAGGTGCTGGTGGTGTACATGTACTTTTGGCTTTTTACATTTTTATTTTTATTTTTTCATTTTTTTGTTATCACCTGTGATTATCTGTTTTATATTTATTTCATTTACAAGTTGTTGTATAGTTAAGTGTAACTAGACTTCTATGGGACGTAAATTATTGTTTTGTATACAGATCTGTACAAAGCGTGTAGATGTAAACACTTGATTAAAAAGGAGATCTCAACTGTGTTGTTGTGGATGTACTTCAGCGTATTTGTTAAAAAAGATAATAAAGCAAAGTATTTTAGCTGTTTGGGAGTTTTTGTTTGCCAGCAAATAGTTGGATTCAATTCAGTTTTATTTATATGGAGTCAAATGATAACAACAGTTGTCTCAAGGTGAAAGGCCCTAGAATAGCCCCAGGTTTGGCCAGGTGATGCTCAAATGGAAGGAGTAATAAGGGGATCATTTATTTATTTATTTTTATAAAATCTGAATGTTTTGGAAGCATGATAATATTTTCACCCAGTCTCCAAGTAGAACTGCCTGAACTTGCAGTGAATACAACTTTACCGAACACAAGTGTAGAATTAGACATTTTACCTTTTCATGCAATCTGTTAACAACAAAGCTTTGACTGCCCCTGTTGTTGATGGTGTAAGTCAGGTAGTGCTCATCATACTTCACATCAGCTATGCACAAGTCAGAGTGTCCACAGACTTTCAATAATAAAGCCAAGTAGATGATGTAAAAATAGGAATGGTTAAATAGTGCATTCATAATCAGTTGTATGTGTCAACTATGTGGGCACCTCAGTCTTGTTGGGATGAAGGAAAGTTGTGTAACATGTACCATAAGGGCTTCAAAGACATCGTTTAAACAGTAGTCGTCTTATTAGTTATTA